CAACATCGGTCCGTCGTACCCTCATGCATCCAAGGGTCACATATCCGCATGACAGTTGTTTGGTTTCGTCCAACACGACTATACCGATTTCCCAGAAAGCTAATCCACAATCTCGGTAGGCCACTATCCTTCCTCTGTCGAACTCGGATACTTGATCAAAATCTGATCTCTGTTTTCTACGAGACATAACAGATAGTTTTTGAAAAAATCTCCAGAAAAACACACAATTGCCGAACCTGAAATCGTCTAAATCTCCAAGCCTTAAATAGCGCTTTGAGGTGGCGCCACAGGCGCGCGTGATGTGTGTCTGCGATGAAATTCTAATCATTAACATATCTCACCTCCGCTAATGCCTGTTGTAAATGTCATGTTATTTGCATGCTTCCTGCAGGGTGTTGTATTTACGGTGGCCAGCAGTGTATGTCGAGAGCTGAAACGTCATCTCGTTGGTGTGGTAGTTAGGAGAGAGGAGTGCCAGCTCAGGTGTCGTTCACGTCACTTGACGATGGTTCAAAATTACGTGGTCCGTCGCCAATAGCCCTCAAGTAGCTGAACAGTGCAACTTTAATATTCACTCACTCCTCCATACTCGTCCTATTTAGTTTTTCATTTAAATTATTGATAACTAAAATTCAAATGTTTTCATTTTATCTAATGGTGTATTCTCACTGAAAAAAAATTCCAACTTCCTCTTCAAACAGGACAATAATTTTAATGGAAACATAAATGGTTCTTACATCTCAAACAAATAGAAGTCTTATTTAGGGCATCTGTTATTTATATATTTTATGTATTAAATTCGTCGGTTGGGGGGCGTGGTTGGTTTGTCGCTGGTCTTTTGTACCCAAGATTGCGGGTTCGACCCCGGCCCAAGTCGATGGATTTTCATGATGCAGAAAATCGACAGCGGCCATGTCGTATAATTATATGGTATACAAAAGATCCCTAGAGGATGCTCTAGACAAAATTAAATCCTAGTACTGGTTCGCATCGTCAGAGATCAGGTGTCTCCCTCTAGGGAGGAAACTGACGCCAAAATTACCTGCGGCGGTTGGTATTCGCATATATGGCACCGCACTAAAAAGAGATACTTGCTTTCAATGTGTACTAGGTAGGTTGAGATGAACTCTGTTAATAACTGTTCACACACATAATCTGCCATCAGAAATGAAAAAAGTGTATTAAATTCAGAACAGCAAAAAAAAACATAACAGCAAATGACACAATTTATTTAAATGGGGGGGGGGGGATTTCTAGCTTACTATTAAAACAATTTATAAAGAATGGATTTTATTTACCTTGAAAAGATACAAGTAGAGGGCAGTTATATATTTAAGTTTCTTCTATATGCAGCATCCTGTGTTGCTAAAACGGATGAGCGGATTGCCCCAAGTTTAATATATGCTCTATGCACGAAATGCACTCTTTGAGAGCAAAGCAAATAACTCACAAGGAATGTATATAAATATTTTGAATATTTATTATTTATAGAGTTATTGATCACAGTTTCAACAAATCACATTAAAAAAAGAGGGTATTCAATAACAGTACGCTTATGTGCTAAATAAAAAAATAGTGTGTGTGTACTTATGTACGCACGTAAGAAGTTATACTTCTTTGGCGTAACAAGATTAAAATATTTCTAAAAATCTCGAGCTTGGCAAGCTGGGACAAGGATGAAAGTAACTCAGTGGTAGAGCATTCGACTGCTGAACGAGAGGTCCACGGTTCAAACCCGGGTGCCTTCTTCTTCAGAGAAGAGACATACTTTTTTGAGAATTTCGAAGGCGGGAATCATCTGTCCCTGTCCCGTTCTGTATATTTCTAAGCAAAGTATTTTCGTATCCGTTCCTACGGAAAGGAAAGTAAAGGTTCGTTGACGCGGGGGTATAGCTCAGTGGGGTAGAGCATTCGACTGCACATAGAAAGGTCCCCGCGCGCGCGCGGTGCAAGCCCGGGTGGCAAATTCTTCAGGGAAGTGAAAGAAAATAATTTTTTTTGAGAATTTAGAATGCAGGAATGATCTGTCCCATTCTGTATATTTCTAGACAAAGCATTTTCGTATCCGTTCCTACAGAACGCAAAGCAAAGGTTCGGTGACACGGGGATATAGCTCGATGGTAGAGCATTCGACTGCAGATCGAGAGATCCCAGGTTCAAACCCGGGTGTCCCCTTCTTCAGGGAAGTGAAGAGATATATTTTACTGAGAATTTCGAAGGTGGGAATGATCTGTCACGTTCTGTATATTTCTAAGCAAAACATTTCTGCATCCATGACGGGGTTTTGTGTCACATCCGTGACGGTGTGCGCACGCATCGTAAAAATTTACCCTCATCCTTATTCCCTAACGCCCAAAAAGAAGTATAACTTCAAAAATTACCGATTCAGTTTGCAGAAACCGCTATTATATACAGATTATGACATTTTATAAATGGAGTGGCTGTTAATCGTATTCAGGATTGCGGAATGAAAGTTGCTCAATGTGGCCACCATAAACCTGTAACTTGAACGCGATGGATAATGTATTCAACAACAGAACGTAACGTGAATGATATGATGTTTCACTCAAGAAATTTAATGAAGTTCTTCAAGTCAGGCATCGCGCGTTACAACGTTTCCGCAATAAATAATATTCTTTAAACTGACTCATAAAAAAAAGTCATATGGAGTCAAACTCCAGATTAAGAGCAATACTTTAAATCTTGTTTCGTACTGTTCAAATTATTTTTGTATTTATTTTGGGACATTTCCTTTTTTGGTTTTGCTATTCATAGATCGCAAAGCAGTCCATGAATCAAATTTGATGACAATCCACTCCCTCGTATTCACTGCAAAATGCTGCTTATAGAGAAGTGTAATCACACCCACCCTGCAGTTTACATGTCATGTTATGTTTTAATTTTAAAACCAAAATTTCATACAATGTTATGTAATGGCTTTAAACTGAGTTTCAGATCAATTCCTATTAGACGTTGTTCCAGTGCGAGTGTTTTAATATAAAAACTGACTTTCTAACTGAATTCTTAGCCTGGAGATTGAAAATATATTTGTAGATCAGTTTGAAACAGCTATTTTTCGTGTAAAAAATCATAAACCTTCACACATCACCTGGTACAGAGCCTTTTATAATTAGATTTTATTCAACAGTACTTGTTTTATTCGTTTGGTATCAGTAAATATATAATATTTTAGTTTACTTCCGCATATTTTAAAATACAAGTACAATCAAATGATCAAATACTAAATAGTGTCACGAAATTTCTTTCGAATATAAATTAAATTAAGTTTATATAATTTTCATTGAAATAGTATGAGAATGTGTTGCTTCGTTAGCACAATTTTATAGACAAGAATAAAGAGATCTGCCAACCTCTCCAAATGCTGTAAATCATAATTCTCTCTCAGGGATTTGACTCTTCCCTTCATTTCGCAGAACTTCATCGTAATAAACTTAGTGTAATCAATTACACAGTTTGTGGTAACTACGAAATAAAGAAACTGACAATAAATTATTTCAGCAATACAATCAAAATTTCTTCATTTTGATTGTATCATACCAGCTACTGTCGTAAGATAAATTGCAATTTCTTGCTTTTAACAAATCCAAATCTAAAACCGAGTAAATTATTTTTAAAAAATTATGTTTTCAAAGAAAACTAAATTAAATTCAGCTGTTTACTGTGAGGTATTGATATTCTAGGCGTAATGTCATTTGTTTTTATTAATCTTTGAGAATAATTAGCTGCTGCGCATATGCAAGCAGTATTTCGAAATGCTTAAGTTTATGATTTCATCCAGTAAAATTATAATAAACCAAAATATATTTAATTACAATTCATAGAAAGAAATACAAAACAGATTTAATAAAAGAGTTATGTAAGTTGAAAGAGATTCCATGAATTTCTATTTCCTTTTATGTGTGATAATGATTTTAAAACGAAATTGTAAATGTTCAGCTTTTCGAAAAAAACTTTTCTATATTACACTATGCAAATAAATCTGCTCTTATGTTAATTACACTGGTCAACATGATTTTTGTCTCATGAGTACCAATAGTTGTACTTAATGCAGTTTTTTTTATCGTGTTTTCAAATATGTATCTGGAATTACTCCATCACCCACAGTTTTTTTTATTTTAATTTCAATTAATGTATTTAAATATTTTTTTAATAAACGACCATTTGTCCATTGTAAAATAAAAACTCCTAGAACATTGTAAATATGATTGAACCACATGAGCTAACTCAAATGGTATCCTGCTACTGTTGTGCAAGATAAGACATGTACAGACACTTTGGCACCAGATACAACAGACAGGCACAGACATGGTCTAGACTAGCATGCATTCATTAGAATGATGTCAGTTGTGAGGGGTAGTAGTGAACCACACACACAGAGTAAACACGTAATTGTGAGTGCTTTGTGTCTGGATTGTTGTATAATACGTATTAACAAATTTATTTCTTTTAATTTGTTGTTAGTTACAAAATGAATAGAGATTGTTTAAATCATCATTACAACTTTTGTTATATATGTGGTGAAGTGACGCTCAAGTCCCAAAGGCGAAACCTTACTCCATTAGTAAAAAAGTGTTATGAACTTTATTTTGTGTGTAAAGTGGGAGACCAAACAAGGACCTGGGTCCCATATATCTGTTGTTTGCCGTGTAGTAGGCTTCTCCCTGCATGGAAGAATGGCACATGCCATTTGCTATCCCTATGATTTGGAGGGAACCCAAAGATCACTCCTCTGACTGTTATTTCTGCTTAAATAATATTAAAGGGATAACACATCAAAATCAAAACATACAGTGGTGTACCCTGACTGGCAATCTGCAATGAGACCAGTTCCACACAGCGAAAAATTGCCCATACCAAAGCCTCCAGAACATGTGACATTAGATGAAGAGAGCTCAGATTCCGATAGAAGTAAGGAAAAAGAAGGAACAGTTTGTGGGGGTGTTACAACTTTTAAACCAAGCTATATTCATCTGAGCCTCATTTATTGACTCAAGAAGATCTTAACGATCTCATACGAGATTTAAAGTTATCCAAAAAACAGTCTGAAATGCTTGGTTCCCGGCTAAAAGGATGGAATCTACTTCAAAAGAATACAAAGATATGTACTTATCGTAGTCGTCACATTCTCAATGTAAGGACTATTTTTCTGAAGAAAATGGCTTATAGTGTTTTGTAATGACATTTCTTCTCTTATGGAGACATTTAGTATTGAACATAACCCTATAGAATGGCGCTTGTTCATTGATTCCTCCAAAGCAAGTTTAAAAGCAGCACTTCTGCATAATGGAAATAAATTCCCATCAATACCTGTGGCTCACTCTGCTAGTATGAAAGAAACATAGGAAAACTTTCAATTTATATTTGCAAAGCTTCAATATGCAGTGTATGAAGGGAATATTTGTGGTGATTTGAAGGTAATTGCACTTATTCTTGGTCTGCAGCTTGGTTACACAAAGTACTGTTGTTTTTTGTGTCTTTGGGATAGTAGAGGGACAGAAAAAAAACATTACATCAGAAAAGAATGGCCTAAACCCGAATCATTCATTCCTGAACAGAAAAATGTGAAACATGACGCAATGTGTAATCCTAAAAATGTGTATCTACCTCCACTACATATCAAACTAGGATTAATGAAGGATTTCGTGAAAGCCATGGGCAATACTCCTGGTTTCATGTACTTAAAACAGAAGTTTCCTAAAATTAGTGAAGCAAAAATTAAAGAAGGGATATTTGTGGGTCCACAAATACGATCACTAATGCATGATGAGAAGTTGGAGGAACTATTAAATCCACTGGAGAAAGCAGCTCGACAAGTATTCAAAAATGTAACACAGTTTTTTGGGATATCTAAAGGCGGAAAATTACCGTGATATTGTTCATGATCTTATAACATCTTATAAAAAATTTGTGTTCTAATATGTTCTTAAAAATACACTTGCTGCACTCGCACTCAGATTTCTTCCCGGAAAATCTTGGTGCAGTGAGCGATGAGCACGGGGAACGCTTTCATCAGGAGATTTCAGCGATAGAAAAGAGATATCAAGGCAAATGGATTGCTAATATGCTGGCCGATTATTATTGGACCATCAAGAAGGATACTCCACAGGCGAAATATAAAAAAAAATCGTGATTTCTTAATTTCTAGGTGAGTCCGAATGTTCGAATATTGTGTACTTTAGAATGTAGAAAATATTAAAGTGTTTCAAATTATAAATGCCTGTCTCTTGTGTGTGTGAAACCCTTGCGTGATGAAGAAAAATCGATATCATATTTGAATTCAGAAGAAAAAATGCTATCAGAATCACATATTTTTCTTTCTGAGACAAAAAAAAAAATGTTTCTGTTTTGTTGCCCAGTGTTCAGTTCAGTTCAGTTCAGTACAGTGGTTAACACTGTAAAAATGGAGACTTGGCTAAGGCCTTATGCTCCGATGTATTATGAATTAGATCTTAGCTTGAGTTGTAATGTACGGTTAGTGATTGCACTGTCTTATCAGTAGTTTTGACTTTCGCCTTGTGCTTTAACTGAAATTGAAGTAAAAGTGGAATATTGAAAATCTATTAATTAGAATTTTAGAATTTTTTGGTTGATGTTAAAAATTCTTCAACTTTTTGAACTTGCTCTATTGTTTTACATTTTGCTATTGAGGAATATGACCATTCTTCGTGGTTGGAGATAAAAATTTTTTTTAAAATTTCACGCTGTGATTTATATTTGGTACAGTTTAATATAAAGTGTTCACTCGTTTCTGGTACTTGACAATCTGCACACAAAGAAGAATCTGATAGTTTAAAAAGGAAATAAATATCATTTAATGGTAATTTTTTAGCTCGCAACTTATTGATTAAAACTTCTGTATTTCTATTTTTTGCTGCCTGTGTCTATTCCATTTTTCAAGATGAGAAATATAAATATAATTTTTATGTTTTTGCTTTTTTTCCATATTTCT